CCCTTTGTTCCTTTCTTAAAATCCCTCGGACATATCAAAAAGAAAGAAAGCGATATTGCAATAAGGTGACCACAGCCTACTCATGCAAAATTTCTCACGTTGGGCTTTAAAATGAATAATCTTAGCTGGATACAATCACAGACATGCAGACCAGCAAGGTATATCAAATTGCTTTAGAATTTTTTCCCTTTTTGTATATTTTGTTCATCCAATCCTTAAGATCATGAATATGAACGTGTAAAAAAAACCAAGTTCAATACACTTTGTGTTGTTTTTAATATGCATATGAAATGCATTGTCATAAAATATAGAAACGCAATTCTTAAGAGGATATTGTAAGTCAGCTCAAATTCTAATTTCGCCCCCACTTCCCCGCGCGTCGTATGCTATGAACCGATATATTTGTAATCACTAATACTCTAAGTAGAAAGGTCGTTAGACACTTATTTAATTAGGTTTATCATATTTATGCCTGTTTCTTAACGCCAAGCCAGCCGCTTCTTATTTTTATCACGGTTATTTCCCATTTTAATTTTACGTCGTACTGTTGCGTAATGTATATTCTGATCGTAAGCGACACAACTTCTCCCTTCAAAAGCCTAAGCGATACTAACGGGGCGACTGGAATCAAGCTCAAGACGCCGATAGTTTAGGTAATTTCTTTTTACAGTGAAAATAATGGTATTTTAAAAAAAGTAAATAACATAAGCACTGCTTTATAGTTAGTTCAGTTAGTATGCAAAGTTTCATGATCTTATTTAAAGTATTTTATGAATAACAGCGGTTTATTGTTTATTTTGGAGGTAACTTTGGATTTTTTTTCTATCAAGAAAATTTTACGAAATCGTGTTTTCGTCTAACATAATCATTAGCATTAATCCTCAACTTTACCATATATTTATTTCAAAATTAATGCTGCAATATTTTCGGCATAACGAAGGATCTTGCTAAGCCATTTGACATTATATTTCCCCTTAAATGATAGGAACGGTGTTTTAAACACCGTTTTTTAGTTCATTTCAAATGACATAAAATTTCTAATGCCCAAACTCCTAACAGTTCTAGATCCCACTATTCATCTGGTCCATCACCATGTCATTAGTGTAACATTTAACCGTCGATGCGACATTCAACGTTCCACAAAGACCAGTAAAGACGTCCCGTGGAGTATTACTCAGTAGTCGAATTTACACTTTGAAAATCACATTTCACCTCTTTATTTATATGGGATATTTTTTGTTAAAAAATATTATATTATAATTTGAATGGTTATTTTAAATAATCTTTCACTTAATAATTTAAATTCATTAGGTAGTTTATTAAATATTTTTATACACATATTTAGGCAACTTTTGTTTTATTTAACGATTCTAGGAATAACATCTAGAACTAGTTTTTCTGGGTCACGTCGGTTTCGGGGCTCATATATATCACGCGCTTTAATAAACAAAGACTTATTTTTAAAGACAAACACACTAACTTCATAAATGTGTAGTGACGGGAGGGTTAATATACCAAGTCTTTTAAATACTGGTTTACAGGAAATATCTGGCAACATCCCGCACATTGCACGAATACATTTTTTTTGTGCAACGAATGCCCTATTTCAGTCAGTACTATTACCCCATATTATAATTCCGTAGCGAAGAATAGTCTCTACGTATGCGTGGTACGTTGCAATTGCCGTCTTAATATTTGTGATGTTTTTAACGATTTTAAGGGCATATACAAATTTATTGATTCTACGTCATACGTTGTCTATTTGTTCTTTCCAGTTTATAATAACTATAGTAGTAAAGAATGAAAACCATTTTATTTTATCAATTTTTTGATTTCTCAAGAAATAACATGCACATTTTAGGACAATATATATATTTCGTTCGTTAATGTTCAGCCATACCGAAGATACAGACAAACAGACAGACAAATATTTTAAAAACAGTTATACATGTTATAATAGTATACCAAGAACCTCTTAGAGCATAATCGAAGCCAATCATTTCAGTATTACTATGTTTGTATTTTTGCGATTTTGTCTCGTGTGCGACATATTGTGTATGTGTGCGAAGCGCGATTCATTAAAATGTTATATGTCTATACAATAGTATTTTAATTTTATTTTTATTAACAATTTTTTTATTTTGCCAACATATACGTAATTTTTACAGTTATTTTTGTTAGAGGACATTGGCCCCTGAGATACACGTTTCACCTAAATTAGGAGTCAGGGACTTTAAATTTATTTGTTAAAATTTATTGGTAAAATAAACACACTTTTTTAAACTGAAGTGATGTACAAAATACAGTCCACTTGATGCTAAATGGCTTCTGAAGCCCACGGAAATCTGCAGCTAACTTCAAACAAGCAAGGCTACAGATGTCGAGGACTAACATGAAATATCTCCAAGCCTGTAATTCATTTGGTTCTCTATACCCTTGCGACCGAAACACAGCAATGCAAATACCATTTGGCGACAGAAATAGGTATGAGGATGGTATATACTCATACGGATTTCTATACAGAAATTGAGTAGTGCCATCTAGAAAATTATAAAATATTTTTTATAAATGCTCTTGTCGACTATTACCTGTTAATAATTTTACGAGACGTAGGTTATATGATTTTAACTAAGCTCGTGTTCTTATTTGCATTAGCACTTACGTGATGAGATCGTGGCGTAGCTTATTATTTTTAATAGCACAGATTTTAACAATAAAACATAATGATTTCTTATATTTACGCGAACACTATACATTGATTAAAACTACTTTTACGGATTTTATCGCGTTTTATTTACTTTGAGCGTGTGCCTGCTGTACTACCATATGTCAGAGGTGTCACAGACAAGATTGGCTACATCTTGAAGCGAGCTTCTATTAGAACATTCTACAAGCTGCCAAAGAAGATTAGTCAGTTCTTAACATCCGTCAAGTGTCATATTCCTCTACGAGATGCAGGAGTGTACAAGCTTGATTGTGATTGTGGTCTCTCATATATAGGGTAAACAAAGAGATCAATTATAACCCGCGTAAAAGAACACATAGCTGACGTGAAGCATCAACGTTCCGGGAAGTCTGCAGTTTGCGATCATATCCTAGATGGCCCCAACCATTACATCAGATTTGATAGACCACAAATCCTCGCGAAAGAACATCGATTCCTATCAAGGATGATACGTGAGGCTATTGAAATTAAAAAACATCCTAATTTCAATAGAGAAGGAGGCTGGGTACTAACACCTGCTTGGGTTCCTATAATTAATAAACTTAAAACATTATTATTTTAACTTTACTAAACCCAAGCATACCACTGCAAGACTTCAAAACACAGTTCATTCTGCGTAGATCGGACCAAAGACAATAATTAAAAACCTGAAGGTACTCCGGGTTAACTTTGACATCGGGACGTCAGTCACCTCAGTCAACGTCGGGTATTAAAAATAAAATAATAAAACGCGATAAAATCCGTAAAAGTAGTTTTAATCAATAAAACAT